CTTATAATAAAATTGGATTATACTAAAAAGATTATAATTATCCTAAAAAACTTTAATTAGAATAATTTTGGCTATATATATTTAAAATGTTTCATGTATGTAAGATATTGTATGCATATCAGCTACAAATACAATTTCTTCAAGTAAAAATACTAAAAACCTTGTAATTTATTTTATATACTTTTTATTATTGCTATTAATTATTTTGATTATTTTTAGAAAATTTATTTGTATCTTGTATTTTTTTGTTTATTGTAGACAATGAGAACCATAGTAATCCATGATTGAGACTTATATAATTAGTTTATAATTTCTATGAAATTTTAATTATTATTGGCCTTAGACAAAAAAAATTACTGTTAAATAGGAGATTTTTACAGAAAACTATGTGCTTTGGCAAAACTAAATTATACAAGACAAAAATAAATTGTCTAAACTTGTTTCTTAAGAATAAATGTTATTTTATGGACAATTATACATAAGGTGACATTCAAACATATGATGTGGCCTTTGTTTGTTACTCCTTAAGCTTGAGATAATCAACACAAGCAAAAACCATCTACATATATCGATTTTGCAAAGAATTGTGCAAGAACTAAAGAGTATGGTGTATGTAATAAGTAAGATCTTTCCAGCACACGAAGACTTGAGACCGAGGCCTAGAACCAAGGAGGATCCTATTTTTCTATGTTTCCTCCTGCATATCAAATATATCAATAATATGTTGTCATTTTAACACACAATCTTTGAGCTGGTTTGCAGCAACTGATCTCAAAAGTCTAATCTTTGTGTCACAGTTGCAAGGAACCCAGTTTATCGAATGTCTTATGTAAGCAGTAATCAGGGACGATTAGATTCTTGGCCACTTGTGACATCGAGTTGCGATTTGGTTCTCACGCCTAGCGCTTCGGTTTTAAACTCGTTTTTTTAGTATGCGACCCACTGATTTCTGAACTTGATGTGGCTGATGCACAGTCGGTATGTTTTGTAGCAGAAGCTACAGTTGTATATGATTTTCATTCACATCGACAAATGCGTCCACCAAGATCAAACATGATATTTAGGGAATTGCGACTGAACTTCAGCCTCACGCTAACAACCGTAGTTCCAGCAGCTTTGAATCATAATCTAGACATTGAGAAAAAAAAAAAAAAAAAAAAAAAAAAAAAGAAGCTTATATTATGTGTCTTGATACCTAAAATTGCAAATGCATCAAAAGACATGGGGTCAAATGAGTGTGGTAGTTTGTGGTTCTTGGTTTTTCACAATGGGATTGCTGTCGCTTCATCGCTTCCGACCTTTGTTTGAATCGAACCTTTAAGTTCCAGCGGTTTTAAACAATTTCGCCCATTTGTGTCAATCAGATATTATTGAAGTACTGTTTTCATGTCTCTCAGATTTCCTTCTGTTATACCGCAACACACCCTGACAGTCCTATGCTTTCAACGTCTCATGGGAAGTGGGTAACCTCCAAGTGGGGAATCACAAAGAAGTCTTTTGAGTTGGCCTACAATCGATTGCATACTTCTGTTGAAGGAAGTTGGCGTGGTGCATGAGATTGAAGGATAAGCTCGGTATCCTTTTCGTAATAGGAAGATCTGATCTACTGCTTGAGGGTGCATCGCTTTCACGAGACATTCAAAGATTCATGAACATCTCCCGGGTGTACAACTTTCTTGTTCACTTACAAGTCTGCACTCCGTATTCTTACAAGTCTTTGTGTCAAATACATCTTTTGTCGCAATTCCTGTTGCAATGTGCTTTTCAAGGTATAGTTCTCCAGTCACTAATACAGCCATTCTGGATTCGTCAAGTATTTAGGGTTTTCTGATCTTTGCCTTTCCACTGTGCAGTTCATGCAGGATATGGTCAGTTCCATGTATCCTACTCATATTTTGCTTACAAACGCTAAGTTAGTTTCGTTGCAGCTGGTTAACTGGGGTGAGAATGGTTTCAAATCATTTTCTATTAGGCACCACAAGTATAAGTCTAATAAAATCTTTTTGATGGTTGTAAGGTACAACTAAATTTTCTTAAGATATCATATAGAAGTGTCTTGTAGAAATATAATAACCTAATATTACCAACAATAATTTTTCCTATAATGTATGCATAATAAAATTCTTCCTAACTACATCTATCTTAGATTCTATGGAGGCAAAAAGGTATGGGTACAAAATATTGTAAGCAAGATCACATGACTTAATGATTTATGGTATTAATTTTTACACAAATAACCTAAAATTTGCACACTTTCTCTATATATTTATATATATTTATATGTTTATTTTATTTATTTTTAAAATATTTTAGGATTTAGGATTTAGGATTTTCCACAACAATATAAAAACAAGCTCATTGATGTTAGATAAAATTCCTATACATGTTTAATGTTGTTTGTTGTAATATTATTTTGCATAGCTATTTTTAATAGAGATGTTAGGTTATCAATTGATTGTAGAAGTGTTTGCAAAGACAAACATCCCTCTAAATATTTAGAGACTTTTCATATCACCAATTGTATCCAACATGTTCTTTGATTTTTCACACCAATCCAAACATAAGTTCTTTCAAGTTAGATAAATTGCTTGTAGATATTAGAAGTTGTTATATTTTATTGTAATAAGACATAGTCAGTTGTTGTAGAGATGTAAAATCACCAATTAATGATGGAAGTGTTTGCAAAAAATACTATTATTTTAAATTTAATATTTGGAGACTTTTAAGGTCATAAATTATATTTGGCTAAGTCTTTTAGTTTTTACATCAATTCAAATTAAGTTTTTTCAAGTTAAATAAATTATTTATAGATGTTGGAAGTTTTTTATATTAATGCATAAATACATAATTATTTTTTGTAGAAATATTATATTATCAATTAATGATAAAAGTATTTTTAAAGACCAAAATCTTTCTAAATTTAGTATTTAAAGAATTTTAAAGTTCCTAATTAAATCTAGCATGGTTTTCAATTTTTCACATCTACTTAAATAAAGTTCTTTTAAATTAGATAAATTGATTATAAATATTAAAATTTATTCTAGTTCAATGCACCAATACATAGTTATTTATTGTAAAAATGTGAAGTCACCAATTAATAATAGAAGTATTTGCAAAGATCAAGATTTTTTAAATTTAATATCTAGAGACTTTTAAAGTTACCAATTATATTCAAAAAGGTCTTTAATTTTTGAAATTAGTCTAAATAAAATTCTTTTGAATTAGATAAATTACTGACAAATATTGGAAGTTGTTATATTTTATTGCTCAAAGATATAGTTAGTTCTTGTAGAGATGATAAGTCACCAATTGATAGTAGAAGTATTTGCAAAAAACCATATATTTTTTAAATTTAATGTTTGGAAACTTATAAGATCACCAATTATATACAACATGGTTTTTAAATTTTTACACCCACTCAAATTATGCTCCTTTAAGTTAGATAAATTGTTTATAAATTTTGGAATTTTTTTCTATTTTATTACATTAAGATATATCTAATTTTTGTAGAAATATCAAGTCACCAATAAATATTATAAGTATTTCTATGTTATTACTATATAACATAGCTAGTTGTTATAGAAATATCAAGTCGCTAATTGATTATGAAAGTATTTGAAAATACCAACATCCTTTTAAATTTAAGACTTGAAGACTTTTGAGATCACCAATTGTATTTAAAAATTCTCTATATTACTCCAATCTAAATCAAGCTCCTTCAAATCTACTAAGTTGAAAATAGATGTTAGAAGTTTTTCTAACTTATAACAATGTTTCATTAGCAATACTCATTGTTTATTTCATTAGAGATACTCATTCTTTGTTTCATTGACAATACTTATTGTAGTTGAATTTGCAATTTTTATTTTATTGAAACAAAGCCAAATCAACTTATTTAAATTGAAAGAAATACAATGATTTACAACTTATAAATTAGTCCTTGTCAAATCCAACACCTTAGCTAAATTATTATAGCTAATTTTTATCTAGATCACAAAATCTCATTAACATTACATCTATTAAAAGACTAAGCTTCTTTAATCTTTTCAATACACCATTATATATCTCCCTTTGCTCATCAATTTCTTTGTAATTATATTTCTTTAAATATCATCCAATTACTTTAAGACTTAAAGGTAGTGTACTACAAGCTTTGGAAATATCTTTTACTTGATTATTAAGTTGAATGTGCTCCTTGTCATAAATTCCATAAAAAGCATAAAATAAAAAATAATTTTGAAGCTTGCACTTAATCTAATAATTCTACCTAATAAATAGCTTCAATAAAGTTGTATAATATATTTTGTCATTGGGTAGTCACAAGTACCTTGCTTTATTTTTTGATGTCCTTAAAAGCATGCTCTTGCAATTCTTCTAAAGTAGTATTATAAAACAATTATAGTATAATATTAGTTGTGATATTGGTAACACTTGAGAGACTTTTAGTGTCATAGAACTATCTTCACTTAACTATCTTCACTAAATCAGGTTTTAAGGGTTTCAGTGGGGATATTAAGGGATTAAAACCCAACAAAATTTTGGTGTACCAACTTAGGAGCAGGTTTTCACTTTTTAGAACAGTATTAAAAAAAGAGTTGAATAAGTATTGTCCAAAACTTTACCAGAAAGATATTTATTTTAAAATTTAAAATATAATTTATTTTTTATAATAAAATAAAAAAATATTGAGTGAACAACAGCTCTAAAAACTTGAGACATGTAAAAAATTAATTGCATGAATGCTGTTAATGTTTCTGAAAGTTCAACAGCAAAAGTTGCAATAGTACAAATGAACATTTTAAACTCAGCTTAAATTCTTCCTCAGCCCCTTTTTTTTTTTTTTTTTTTTTTTTTCATTCTTAGTGTTCGGCATGGACCATACGGATTGGTCTGGACCAAACCTCAGGCTTGGGCTGAACGCGAAATTGGTTTGGAACTTGACCTGGGGTGAGCCTCGGCCCCGTTGGCGGGCAAGGAGCTCGGAGAACCGTAGGGCGACCCTGTGATGAAGCGGGGAATAATGGCAGGGCCTTCTCCGCTGTAGAGTTAGGGTTGCGCTTTTAGTAGCCTCTGGGGGTCTGCCGAAGTCCAGGTTTCGCGATTTGGCGTAACCATGTGTGGACGTTATTGGTTCTGTTTTTGATCTGCCGAATTCGCAAACTTTCCTGGTGAGATTCTTGACTGAGAGCATGGTTTCCGGTCCCGATGATTTCGATTTTTTTCTCTCCGACTGGGAGTGAGGACGATTTGGAGTGTCTGTGGGTGGTTTCCATCAGACATATTAATTCTTCTTGCATATTTTAAGTATCTACGAAGGAAGAACATCTTTTAAGTTTCACAGTTGATGACTGTATCGGTTTTTCGCTTCTCCTTGAATTCATCGAACAGTGCGTCAGGAAGGTTGTATCAGGGGATATCCCGGCAAGAATAGGTGCTAGGGAAGTCTTGAACTGAGTTTTGCATTAGCAATGTATACACGAAAGGAATTTTTTCACTATTGAATATGGTGTAATTATGGGGAAGCAAACGAGGGATGTGAAGTGCGAGTTGTTCATGGTTTAGTATTTCGAACCCGATGTAATACACACGCAGGAACAGGGATTTTTTACATCTTTTTCGGCATGCCGAATTCGTGATTGAGGGAGGTTCAGTTACACAGAACTACTTTATCTATCCGAGGGTATGGGACTATTCTGACATTTGAGCTAGAGAAGTTGAAACATTTGACTAACTGTTGTGCACGAAATCTCTCTTTTACATTTCCAATTTCCGATGAAGTATCTCCTGTAGGCTACTTCTAGGATGTTCATGTAAAGATTCATGAAAAGCTGTTAAATTCAGTGCAGTGACGTGTGGCATTAATTCATGAAGTGCAGCTTAATGTTTAAGGGCTGCATTATACAGTCATAATTCCGATTAAAAGTTTTGCTGGTATTTGTGTTTGAGATTTAATAAATTAATTTATGCTCCCAGTTTACTTCGTCAATTCCTTACTTTCCAGTATATTTACCTACAGTTCTCTTGCTCAAAATGTCCTGGAGATAATAACATTTGGTAAGGGAGTAGATTCAGGGATCTGCAAATGCTACACGTCAGATGCGCTAAGTGAGAAGTAGTTAAGATGAAGGGTGAGGAGTGACTAAGAGGAGAGACGCAAGGGTCGACGATATTGGTTTGAGTGGCGTTGATTAGTTTAAAAACAATCTTTCCCCTGAAGTGTGGCATGTTTTTAGGTGTTTGTGAATTGTTGACTTCGTTGACACTCAAGTCAATTGAGCCCTAATCAATATCATCTATACAGTAGTCTGCAGCTCGTGCGCTCTCTCTCTCTCTCCTCGTCTCTTTCTCTGCATCGAGAGATAGAGATAGAGAGATGAGGTTTTTAACAAATTACCAGTTAGTAATTAAACAAAAACGTTCACTGACTGATACAAGGTAGCTTTGTTTTCAAGTGAGTTCGATAACACTTTGTCAATTGTCACATTGGTGACCTCTTATTTGTTGGCTATGACGGTTTCTTTAGACATTCATATACCAATAACACTCTTCATTTTATTCATTTTCTGAACAGATTGTAATTGATTCTGAACGCAGTTAGTCGACCATGAGGAGAAACAATGTTTGGGGAGAATGAGTCAACGATGGCCACTTTTACATCGACGGGCTTCGAGTCTGGACAGCATGACAGCCTTCAGACACACAGGGTTGCGCTTTGGTGCTGGGAAGCACTTGGGCAAGGTTGGTCGGAACTCTATGGCAGGCGAAGTTGAAACCACTCTGCGAGGGTCAGGAACAAGTACACTAGTGTTGTCCACAATGCCTTGCTGCTTGGAGCGCTTGGCTCCTGTACCATTCGCCGGCAGTGGCAGAAAGCTAGGATTTCGTGGTGTTAGCCCATCGTATTGCGACGGGCTTTCTCTGGGGCTGTGCTCATTATCAAGAGGTTATCAGAGGTAAGATTACAATATGTTTCATCTCTGGTTCGTTAATGATTTTTATGATTTGTAATAGTTCAGGTCCTAGAGGAGGCTAGATGCTACAATCCTGGTGGTTCGTTGTAGTGTGGTTGAAGTCTGTGTTTCTTAATACGCTGTCATGCCTTTTGGTGCAGGTATCATAAAGTTGGTGGTAAGAGTAGCAGGTTGGATTTCCATGCAATAGTCAATAAAGTGGAAAGGACAACTAAATCTGCTTTAGGTTCCCGATTCATGGTGAATGCAAGAGATTTACATGTAAAACATTTGCGACCATTTTACTTTCATGGTTGGCCGAGTTTAGTCGATTGTAGTTTTTTTATGCGGGAAATAGATTCAAGAAGATTAGTGAGGATTCCTAATTTAGGATCATTGACAGAATGCGTGGCATCGTTACATGATGGAGCATCTGTTGATGAAGATGTCTGTTCCGAATTAGCTTTGACGTCCAATTTAACAGAGGGGGTTGTCTGGGAGGAGATAACTACCTCTACTAGATCATTAAATGACGCAGAGCGTGCAAGTGAAAGTCCCTCTGTGTTTGGAGCCAGTTGTGAAGGCTTCAAAGAAGATTCGTCTATGGAGGGACCGCATGAGATTCCTATTGAGTCGCAAGTGGATCCAACAATCATAGTGTTTGACATTGAAACAACAGGATTTTTAAAGCCCGGGAGTAAGATCGTTGAGTTAGCTTGCCGAGATATCGCTGGAGGAGACTGCAGCACACTGGAGACTCTGGTTAATCCATACCAACCCGTGCCAATAGCATCCACCGCCGTCCACAAGATTACATCTGAAATGGTAAATCGAGATGATATTCCAAGGTATGTTTTGACACTTGGTATGACATCGATGTGTTTCAAAGGTTCTGGCAGTTGTGATTGCTTTACTCCACCTCACTCGTTATATTAATGCTGTACATCCAAGAGATTGTTTATCGTTCAAAACCAAACTACAAATTCTGGATACCTCCATGACTATATTATATGACCTTTGCATGGCAGCTGGACAGAAGTTATGACTGCATTTGTTGACTTTGTCGAGAGTCGGCGAATTGGAAACTCTGATGTCATTTTAGTCGCTCACAACGGAAGAAGATTTGACGTGCCATTTATCATGAAAGAGTGTTATGAATGCTCCATGGAAATTCCTTCTCATTGGTACTTCATTGACACTATCGATCTTGCCAAGGCAATGCTGAAGAAGAGATTTGGTGCCTAAAAACTTCACCCTGGTCGTTTTTCTATTTTAGATTTTAAAGATAAAATTGAATAACCTGTGTTGTTATGTCTGTTCGAGTTTTGTGTAGAGGCCACGTATTTTATGTTGTTTCTTCCCACATGCGCTATACAGAACTGTTCTCTTCGCACTTCTGGTTGTATTAAATGCCCTATTTCATGTACTTATTTTGCAGGAAAGACGAAATTATATAACTTGCAATTCCTTTACTATGATTGCTACAAACTACCACGCCTCGAGGATGCCCACCGTGCGGGTGTGGATGTGGATATGCTAGCCAGCGTATTTGGTAAATTATTGATGGAGCTCGAGATGCCCGTGTCTGAGCTTCTGGATCAAGCCTTTAAGGCGAGTCACATAGAGTTGAAGCCAGATCTTCTTCTACGAGAAAATAATGACCGGTACACATCTCTCTCAAAGGAGGTAGACGAGACCCTTTTGGAGCAATCTATGGTGGATGTTATAATTTGTGAACGGAATGTAGATCCTTTACCAGATAGCAAAGTGAGAACATTATTAGAACCACCTGACCAAGGACAAGACGTTGAAGCCATATGTGTAAGTTCAGAATATGTGGAGACTGAAGAGTCCTGGGAATCCACTACAGGCAGTATCACTCTTAACCATAGTTTCATGAGCAAGGACTCAACTGCCTATTCAGATGGAACTCGAAAAATATTTTTAAAGAAATTTGAGGGTTTTGATACTCAGACCTTTACCACAGCTCAGTTATCGGGAGACGAAAATCCTAGATATTCAGAGGAGTTATCGTCTGGGGAGTTGGATACTAGGGTTGAAGGTGTGCCTATCGGGGATATTCAATTGGATGCAAATAGAGTCCATGTTGCTGAGTCGCTCGCCTCTGCTACTATCGATGAAAAACTTTTAGGTTTGGAAAAAGGCACCCCTGCTTTAGAAAATGGAATTACATCTTCCTGGGAAGATAAATATGTTTTGGATGATGCACAAGACAATAAAACATTTGAATTTGAAGATGCTCTGGGTTTGGTTCTAGGCAATGAGGAAGGTCTGGCCACCAGTACACCTGAACCCTCAAGTGTTAATCAAGTTGAAGAAGATGCCACGGTGACGAGCTCTCTTGTTTCTGGCGACGAGTTGCCATCGAAATATTTTAAATCATCAAGGAAGTCTCGTACCGAGGAATGCACGATCCCTACTAGGTCACCAAGTACATGTAATGATGATCCAAGCTTTAGTAATCTACATCCTGCGGACGTTAATCCCATCGATGATTTGATTGGAAATGAAAACTTAGACGGTTTGGAAGTAGCTCAGCAGAGTAAACTCTCGTCTCCAACTGTAGGGGATGGAGGGCTTCAGCCTTTAAATATAGGTGGTACATTGTTGAGTAGAAAAAAAGGCAAGAGACGAGGAACTGGTGATGTTCAAACTACAGCGACACGAAATATTGCGCACACAGTGGGTGATTGTGAGGAGCAGCTATCCGCTGCTGTGGCTACCGTTATCAATGAGCTATATACTTGTGATATTCAACCGGTTAGAGGCCCAGACTCAAATGATTCCTCACATGGTGTTCAGGACGAGAAGCAGAGAAGGGCAAAGGAGCAGTTGCATTCGAGTTCTGTTAACCTGTCCTTTTTGAGTCCCATGATGAGACAGTATGTGGAGACAAAACGACAAAGACCCAAATTTCTGTTGCTCTCAAGGGTTGGGGACTTTTATGAGGTATTAATTTCTCCTGATCCTGGAATGCACATGGTAAGTATTGTGTTCGTTCCATTTCGAGTTTTCAATATTATTCATTTAAGGTTTCTCTCTGTAGGCATTTTTCGAAGATGCGGAAAGGTTAGCGCACGCCTGCAACATACGCTTGTCGGGGGTGGATGGAGGTAAGGTATGATGCAGAATGCCATCCTAAGTTGATTGACATTGCTTGAATTGACATCGTTGCTTCGCATTGAATAGCCAGAAAGTTTCAAATGAGAGGATAGAGTCGTCTCTGAGCACAAGGTGTATGTAGGAAATATATATGCCTCTCGATCTTTAACACGTTTTGAAGTGTCACTTTGCATTCATAATTCACCATTCATATTGGTGGGCTTTCCGCGATCGTTCTTGGATACTTAACGCAGAAGTTAAAGAGGCTTTTATTCTGTAGATGACATTATATATGACATTATATAGCTACAACCGTTGATCTAGTTTTTTTTTTAAAAAAATTAATATATATATTTTGTTTTTTGATGTTCGAAGTGCTCATTTTATCTCTTGTGTCAGCTGCTGGAACGGAAGGTGCCAATGGCAGGAGTCCCTTACCATAAAGTTGATGTTTACCTTCGCACTCTACTGAAAAAAGGCATTTCTGTCGTCAAGCAAGATCAGGCATAATCCTTGTCTATTCCTTTGTATAATCTTGATTTTGAAAAACAGATAATTTAGTGCATGCTTGAATGCAAGTATAATTCTTAGTACTGTAGTCGTTAGGCATCTACTGTAAGAAGTTGGCGTATGATTTCTCGTAACATTGGGTACTCGCATTTTGTTCATATATTTCATAATTAATCTATGCTTTTTAATTTATTTCTATATTTAATTTCAATCTCATTCTTTAAAAATGTCTAATATTATTAATACCAGTAAAACATATATCAGTTGTGTCCTTTTGACGTGTTTAATAATTGCATTTTCTTATTATATTGCTCAAGTTTTGTAGGTCACGGCTGCGGATACTAAAGGCGGGACGATAATAGATCGGCAAGTTACTGCAGTGCTCACCCCCGGCACTCTTTTAGACGAGGCCATGCTGGAAGATTCTTGCAGTAACTTCTTGGTTTCCATCTTTCCTCATGCTGATGAAAATGGAACTTGGGGTCTTGCTTATGCTGATATTTCAACAGGTACTGCACGCACTGTCTTTTATTTGATTTCTAGGTGTCTGGGTTGGTTGACTCTGTCAGTGGTATCTCTTTCCAATTGTTTTTGATTTGAAAGATAATGAACCTTATGTCTCAAATGTCCTTCAGTTCTTTTTGATTCTAACTATCTTTTATGTGGCAGGAGAGTTCCAGGCAACACAAGGACAGGGTAGATCTTCCTTGCTGCATGAACTTCAGCGTTTACAACCTTCAGAGATTATTTTTCCAGCAAATGTAAGCTTATTGCCCTTTTCACAATGCATATTGACGTGTTGCTTTACCCTCTACATTTGAGCCATAAAATTTTAGAGGGTGAGGCATCTGGAAGTTGATATTATTGTACAGAACTCTCGCAATGTTTGAACCAGACAACATGTAGTAAGCATAAAAAGAGTCATCACAACACAAAAAGTGCTAGATGACCTACCAAGTATTTATGTGTATGTGGTCCTATGATTTTAAAATATTGAATGAAGTCCAAGTCAGTCAGCTGTAGGTTACTGTAACTTGGGGAGTTGTATCTGAGTTGTTTGTTTGTTTGAGTATGACCACAAATGTCTGGATTCCAGGTAGTCTGTACTGTAGACAAGAAAACTGAGATACTACGACCGATTGGCATGCCGAGTGAAATATGCTACTCCAGTCGACCAACTTCAGAATTCTTTCCAGCGGCTGCTGAGAAGGTACCGGATATACTTCTTCTTTTATTTAAATTATTTTATTCCCAGTTAAAGAATGGTAGTCCATATTGCCAACCCGTAGGAATCGTATTAGCTTTCTTTATATGTTTGAGCTGCCTTCGGAGTGATGATCAGAGCGAAATTGGCAGATAAACTTTACCAATGAAAAGTTTATAATCTGGCAAAAAAATTGGGATTCTGCGTTTCGTGAAGCTTGTTTGTACATTGGCATGGCCCCAAGGATATGATTCATTCATCACATTGGACCTACTCTGAAGCAGCTGGTGCAGATATACGCATTATTTCAATCTGTTTCTTGATCCATTAGTATCTATTTTTATTTTTTGTTTTGTTTTTTAAATTGCGCTATGTCGGTCGCAGAGATTACATGCTAGTTTTGGAGAGGAATCCTTGAAGGCCTTTGGTGTGCCTCGATCATCTCATGCTATTCGGGCCGCAGGCGGCTTGTTGGGGTAAGTATCGCAATATCCCGTTCATTCTTTCCATATTGTGGAGTTCGGTCCCCTCGTCCCGGCAAAATATGGTTCTTCGAAAAGAGGATCATGGTTCTGTATTTAGATGTACAGTTTGATTCACACCGATGATACCCATGCCGCTCATGCCAATCCTATTTTTAATCATTATGTTTTTCAGAAAGTCTCTAATTTTATTATTTAGTGTACCTCAACATGTGAGGATCAGTCTGAATCATCGCAGGTAATCAGATTGTTTCCTGGATTTCATTTTCTCGGCATTTTCACTAGTTTACAGTTCCGCAATATTGTCCTGAACTACTCTGCTATAGCTTAATAACATTTTCTCGGTAGCGTTACAGTAAACTCTCCAATTTGCTGTGTACTTTTGCTTGTGGCACCTCATAAGTCGGGTGATTTGTTTAGTGTTAATCTTGTTGTATGTGTTTTTGAAGATTTTCACTTCATTTAGTTTTATATTAAATTACTGAGACACATGTGCACGATGCTGACAGATATATTCAGGAAACACAGAAACTTAGTAATGAAGAGATACCTCTTCAATCGCCCAGCTTTTACTCCACTTTAGATACAATGCATATGGATGACACTGTGAGGAAACATTTGGAGGCAAGTAGTCACCTAATTTTTTTATCTTTTTCTTCTTTTCGAGCACATAATATGCGTGTCGTAGCTTGAAAATATCTAGGTTGTTCAATTGTGTTTCTGATCTTGTAACCTTTATTACTGTCACAGTTGCTAAAGACGTCACGCTGGGATAAGGCAGAAGGTTCTCTTGTATGGGCTTTGGACCACTCGCAAACAGCTATGGGGAGCAGATTGCTTCGCCGTTGGTTGCTCTGGCCTCTCATCGATCATGAGCTTATCTGTAGACGACAAGATGCCGTTCAGGTGAATACCGTTGTTTACAATGCACTGATGCAATTGACTTCTAGTTTGTGTTGAAAGTTTCTCGTGGCCCAATTTCTGCGTCACTGAACTTCTTATGTGTTTTTCTTGGGCACAAATTTCTTTGATGTGAGGTTCAATTGATTGAATATTCAAGGCTATCGATATATTATATTGATCGAACTGAGTAAGAATAAACTTTGATCATTGCGTCTACTTCTACTGATCATCTCATATCATTTGTAGGTATTTTTTCACAATCATGAAATGAGGTCAGAGTTTCGCAGCAAACTAGCGCATGTATCAGATGTCGAGCGTATAGCTGCCCGCATTGCGTGGAAGCGTGCTGATTCAAGGTTTTGACATCATACCCTAGTGCTGTTGATGATGAATATACTCTGAACATTATCTGCTCAGCTCTACATGATTGCGTATGACTGAACCACATATGACCATTTTGGAAATCCTCAGGGATAAAAAATTATTCCAGCTGGTGTTGTTCTACTGAATGGGAATCTGTTCATCATCTCAGTTCATTACAGGATGAAGGCATGTCATTGTGCCGACTGACTGCAGACAAGTATCATTGTCTTGCTTTTTTGTACTGAAAGTGTTGGGTGGATCTGACTACAGTTTCGTATGCACTGATTGAGTATGTGTTATGTACACTGGAATTCTCACAGGGATCTTTTGACTTTGGCTCAGTCGATTAAGTGTTTGCCAAGCTTGGCAGAGCTCATTGAGGGAGCATCACTCAATTCATATTTTGTTGCTGCTTCCCAGATCCCCACTACTGCTGTACAATGGGCCAACAAAGTTGAAGTAAGCACTGATGTTTTATTCAACAATGACTTTTATGGATAAATTCATCTCTGCAATAGAATATCACTGCACATAAATGTGAAGTGATTTTTCTTATACAGCCTGTTTATTTTGAAGACATTGTATGAATTGTACATCAAGATTAAGAAAAACGGAGAATGGTTCCACTCAATCTATCAAATTTCTGTGCATGTCACTGGGTTCTCAAGATACGTTTGTGCTCTTGGAATGCTTGATTGAATATATTTATTTATCTTTCTTTTTTTTGTCTGTTGGATTAGCAGAATATGATAGCAGAAGAGCTAGGTAATGGTCTACAATCAGGCAAGCTGGTGAAGGAAGGTGTCGATCCGACTTTAGATGTTCTTCGTCAGAAAGTTCAGGAGAATATGATTTGGCTTGAAATGTATGAGGAGCAGGAGCGGTTACGCATTGGCATACCGTCGTTAGAGGTCAGATATACGCTTGCCCTGTTCGTGTCAATGTGCTACAACTTCCAGTGATCCTATGATATATTTGCAATCCCTATTGTTGTTTTCTTCGAGATGCTTAACAAGATGTTGATAGTTATGAAAAGACTACAGATGTTCATTCATATTCCACTCCCTGGCTTTGTTCTACTTAATTAATAAAATTTTCGAGCAAGTCCCTTTTAGATTTCTTTTTCATGTTGACTTGTTCGCCTGAGTGATTTGGAAAGTTCAAAAGTTTTAAAGGGGCATATTTATGATTTCAGGTTGGTTTCAATAAGAACAGTGGCCACTTCATCAGCATCCGTAAGAACAAACTGAAGGAGGATTGTATTCCCAATGACTATCAGAAACTTCAGAGTTTGAAAGCAGAGGAGAGGTTTGTCACTCCAGAACTTTTGAATTGTGAGTCGAGCTTATTAGCTGCTGAAGCAAAGGTTTTCGAGCGTGAGGAAGAGCTTTTGAGATCACTGAAGGAAGAGTTAGTATCCTTATTGGAGCCTGTCCGAGAGTATAGTCAAACAGTGGCTGCCCTTGATGTGCTTTGCACATTCGCAGGTACATTGTTATCTTCTGCTCTGACTTGGAAAACGTGATTTGCTTGCTGCAAAGGATTCTCTTTCGTATCATGTTTAATTTCGTCATATAAACCGCATGAGGAATAGCAGAGAAACGGAAACAATTGCTTTAGGTCTTGCTGAATTTGTTAATGATTAAAGGGGTTATTTGTTGAGAAATAATTTAGCTCTCGGCTTTAACCCGTCGTGGTTCCTCGTATTTGTTTAAAAATTTATTTACTTTTCTTACTGCAGAACTAGCTGTGAATAGGGACTATTGCCGTCCACATATGCTGGAAAAAGGCCGAGAGATCACAATAATTGAGGGTCGGCACCCTGTGGTAGAATTATCTTTACCAGATGACTCGCGTTTTGTACCAAACTCCGTTTACTTAGGATTTGATGTTATCACGGAGAAGATACCTGCTACTGAACGCTATGGACTCGGCGAGAAGCTTGATGGGGCTGAAGCGATGGAGGAACTTACAGTTGAAAGCGAGAAGTGGTGGCCACGTGCTGACCTTGTTTTATTAACAGGGCCGAACGCTAGCGGGAAGAGCTGTTATTTAAGACAATTGGGACTTATTCAGCTTATAGCTCAATCTGGCAGCTTTGTCCCTGCAAAATTCGCCCGGTTATCAATAGCAGACGGGGTTTATACACGTGTTGGTGCTGTAGATGATTTAGCTGCAGGTCAGAGTACTTTCCGAATTGAGATGGTTGAGTCTGCAAATATCCTCAATCGTGCTACTGCCCATTCATTGGTTTTGCTGGATGAAGTTGGCAGAGGAACCAGCTCACAGGAGGGAGGCGTTATTGCTCGAGCAATTATCGAGTATTTGTCACAGATTGTGCGTGCAAGGACCATTTTCTCAACTCACTATCATGACCTCCACATATTGGATCAGGATTATCCCAACGTTGCAAACTACCATTTTCAAGCAACTGAATTGGATAATGGTGAAGTGATATTCGATCATGCTGTGATGCCAGGCTATGCTATAAAGTCTCATGCTATTGCAATTGGTAGAAGTGCTGGATTACCGGATTGGGTATGTAGTAGGGCTACTGAACTTCTTGCCCTCGAAGAAGGGTTATGTGCGAGCTCAGATTCATGTCGGGAACAATCTGATTTGGATGTCCCACAAACCTATGAAAACGAAGTGTATGAGGATCGTGGAAATAACGAATCGTACGACAAGAACCTTGCAATTGGGCTTGATGAGGTAGTTAAGGATGCAAATTGCAGTGGTGAGGCTCTGGCCTCAAATAAGAGTTTGGAATATAATGAGGGCAGGTGTATTCCAAATTTGAAAGGACTTGAAGAAATGGAATCAGAAGACTTGGATGATGATCTAGACAAAACTGAAGGACATATGAATGGAGATGCAACATCTCATGTCTCCTCGAAAATTCCTAGCAGTTTTGATTTCCCAGAAAATATAGAGCAATCAATTGCTATGGATCAAGGAAGTTCTGACTTTGTATCATCAATAAACTTGGAAGGCAATGGAGATGGTGCCTCAGAAAGCACCGGACAGCATCTTCAAGTGCAAGTGGAAGTACAAGATCAGTCAGAGGCACATGCCATACAAGAAGAAAAATGTTATTCAAGAGAGCAACTTGATGAGGTTTGGGGGCAAGTGTACATAGCCTTGCAAAATCAGCCAGCTACTCAAGCGCTTTTGAAGCAAAAGGTTCGACACTAACTCAAGCTTCTTAGTCTTATTCAAAATTGTAGATGTGATTTCAAATGTAAAGAATCATGTTTTGACCCAATTAAGTGAGGCTTTTCTTTGGCATTTTTACATTCAAGTTTTTGTATATGGCTATGCGTGAACCTGAAGTATAGACACTGTGTTAAGGTAGATGGGATTGGTTTGTCACTAGTCCTCATCGCATTATCCGCTTAGACCTCTCATTTGTTCGTATTGCAAGTCTCCAAGTGAAAGCAATAGTCTTTTAGAATACTCGTTCTATGTGCTTTGTTTGGCACAGCATATTGATACTTTTGCCCATCTCTCGCAGGGATCTTTGGTATCAGTTAGCCTTTTATTGGACGAATTCCAGGTATGTGTAAGTGCATCTTCTCTGTTTGTGAGAAAGTTCCAGCAGCCGGAACATTTTGCTACCTTGGAGTCTGCTTTTGCATTAGTATTGCACCAACCAGTTCATCTTCGCATATCTGCGCGTACTGATGGATCGCCATAGTAACCCACACTACAGTATGGCTTCAATTCTCCTCAGTTTCTTCGTCCTACTTGTCCAGTTGGCTGGAAAAGTCAATTTATTGTTGGTGAGGTTGAACAGGAAAGGCACAACAAAATTCTGTAATTCATCTGATTAGATCATTTTCACTAATGTTTCTATTTGATCGTCTACCCTCTGCAAAAGTGGAAGAGGTAGCATAGAGGTTCATGATTATTTTTTTTAAGAGAGTATTCACCGGGTACACACTTCTTTGGTACTTGATCTAACTTGTTTCTGACTAGTGTCCAACATGAAAAGATTTGTATCTTGTATTTATCCTGAAAGCTCATATTTAAAAACCGACATCTTGAAAATGTGGTTTGTGGAGTTTGTTTTCTTGAAACTTGCATTGACTACATTTGAGCTCAAATATATGAATTCACTTCCTAGTAATAATTTTTAGATCTATTTTACTTTTTTTTATTATATATTTATATATTTGCAAAGCAACTGATGGAACATATTCTGCAGCATTAGGAAGTAGGTCTTTTATCTACCTTTTTACATCAAATGAACGTCCATTTGAAATCAAAACTGTAGGGTAATTTGTGTTCCTTTGTCATAAAAGTCTTAAAATTACCGTCCTGGTCATTAGTGGTGTTAAAGAGTTGCCATGTTACAATAAAATCACAAAGCAATTGTAAACCTTTTTCGGCATTCAAAGCCGGACATATGAATATAGGTTATCTGTAACATTGGAACGCCTAGCTGGCTTGGTGTCGCTGCTTTGGTTGGTGCAAATCTGTGTGTTGAAGCTCCTCACTCTCATTCCAGGACCCACGACTTAACAGCATTTCAGCTGAAGTTCTTCTGAGCAATTCGTCTCCAAAGTCGCTGTAGTCAAGCTTCTTGGTAACTGGCAATGCGGTTGCCCCACTCTGTTGTTCAATCGAGATTGATGCCCAAAAAGCTTTAAACTACGTCGGCGCAGCTGTGGTGACCCATCGAGCCTTCTAGTTCATTTTGCCTCGTTTTCTATATATAGATTCTTTTAAAATATCCAGAATAAAATATAAACTTAAAAAGATAAAAAAACAGTACTTGTCTAGTATAAAATAATCAAAATTAGATAAAAGAAATCTTAATAAATCACATAAAAACCAAAAAATATATTGTACAGATGTAAACACTTATAAAATATTATATACTATAAATAAATAACTGGATCATTTAACTAATATAACATAATTCAAAAAAATAAAAAAATGAAAAAATTTAAAAAGTTGTTTGCACAAGAAAAATATTATAACCAAGTACAAATACTATAATATAAGCCTAAAATAATAACACAATCTACCAAGTCATAAAAAATTATTCAATGAAAATAATAGTAATTATAATTCATAAATTTAAATATTATTCCAATATATATATATATACATATATATATATATATATATATATACATATAAGCATATTATGTACAAATTATATTAGATTAATACAACATATAAGTTATAATAGAAGAAGTTTATAAAAAAAAAATTTATATATATATATATATATACACACACACATATACATATAATCTAAAATACAATTTAATAATAATTAAACATAAATTATAATAAGTTTAAAGTAACAGATATTACTATTATATTTAGTGATTTCTTTTGAAAGTAAAAACTAATTATAGGAATTATATATATAGTAAGCATAAAATCAATTAATTTTAAAAAATTAATATTTTATATATACTCTCAAAGACTACAATAAAAACTTTAAAATTAAAAATTAATATGTTTTTTACAAATTAATATATAATAGTTATATTATATAAGTATCTAGATTTTATTAGTTTTTATGATGCCACATAGTATTTGATTGAAATTAAAACTTCTGATTTTTTGTATATATATATATGTAAGTTTTGAATTTAAAAATCAAGTGAAAGTTACATAACAAAAAATTTATTTTTAAATTTTAATTAAATAATTAAATTTTATAATAATTATATATTTTAATAATAATAATTAAAATAATCATAAAAATAATATATTTAGAAGTTTTGCAAAACTTAAATCATGATTGTTTAATTCTACCTCTTTTTGTTAATTTTATGTATATGAGTATTATATTTTTAATTTTTAATTACATTAGTTAGTAGTTTTTAATATGTTATTCCATATTATGTAGTCATATGTGATTAAAATTGGCTTTAGGAATTTTAGTGTGAGTAGATTAGATTGTAAAAGTAATGCAAAAACACAAATGTAAAGAATAAAATAAAATGAACTATTTTCAAAAGTAAAGATTGTAATTAGTGTTTTGCAATAAAAGATAATATTATTGATCTTATGCACATTATATTCTTTGCATCAATAGCTCAAATTCTCAATAATATAAAATGGAGATTCAAATTTAGGATAATAAACAAACTAAAATAATTATGAGAAAAGGTTGATCATAAGTTATGAGGTTGAATGCTTTGTAATCAAGACTGAAATTTATAAAAAGAGCCAAACAACAAAGTTGGTCACATTTTGGAATAAAAAAAATAAAAAAAAGAAAATTATCAATTATTACAAAAAAAGAAAGAAAGAAAGAAAGAAAAACAACGCAAAGGGCAATCAAAGGGGAAGAAAAAAACACACAATAATATCTCTAAATTGAGATGCAATGTCCTTGGATCTAAACAAACAAAAAACAAATAAAAAATAAATAAACAATCTAATAATATTTGGATATTGCAATGGAGCTCATAAAGACAAAGGGCCCACTTCCCAACCATGGCCACACATCACCTAAAATGCATGAAATTGACAAAAAACATGAAAATTAAAAAGACTTGAAATGCAAATATCATAAGAATATATCTGGCGTAAGAAAACGAGGATGAGCCAAGTAGGGTAGGGTGATGGAGAAAAATCTTCCTCAACTACCCAATTGGATGAGTTCTCTCTTGTTTGATGAGAAAGCCAATATGAGTCAGTCTGGAAGTAGTTCCATGGAACCGCCACATACAAACAAACAAACAAACAAACAAGCAAACACACAAACCATGGCAACCACGCTTAGCACCATAACTCACTCACCCACCCACTGGCACATCTCCATTCACCTTCAGAAGAGAAACTACTAGGGCATAGAACCAGTGAACCTGAACCTGTTTGTGTAGGGAGGGATACATGATTCGGACACTGCAGCAGGCAGCAGCAGCAATGTGGATAAGCGAGAGCACGCACACTCAGTGCGCACACACACACACAAACTAGGGTGGTGGTGGGGGCACCCCTCCGAAGCATCAAACCCAGGTATACACAGCGAGCGAGCGCATCAGGAAAGAGAGGGAAGAGAGAGGAGAGAGCGAGAGGAAGGGAACCGAGCCAGCAGCTATCCAGCTAGCGTCATAGCAGCAGCAGCAGCGGAATAATAATAGATTGAGGAAGGGGCCAAAGCCCTGCTGCCAGCAGGTGAAAGAAATTTATTATTTCCTGAGCCCAGGGAAAGGGAGAAAAGGGGGAAAGTGGGAGCCTCCCGTTGGATTGTTGGTATGGGTCCTGAGGTAGCAGCAGCATTGTGCCAGGGTATTGTGTTGCTGCTGGTGATGGATTTCGGCTTTGGGCGCCTTTGTCTGCGTCAGGATACTTTTGGAATCCCCACACTACAGCAGACATACTTTACAGATAGTTCGGATGTGTGTGCGCGGACACAGGGTGGGACGGCGAGGGGGACAGCCGTTCTTCTCTGATCCGATCTCCCCGCCTTCGCTCCCACGCGCTTTACTCGCCCGTTGCTTGCTTGTGTTGGGACCATCTGCTTCACCACCACCCCCCCCCCCCCCCTCTCTTCACCTACGCTATTATGGATCGCCACTTCTTCGTCTCCTCCTAGCCCCTGTTGTGGTCGGTTTCTGCAGGTGAGTGTTACTTGTTGTGTTTGTTTGTTTGTTTGTTTGTTTGTTTGTTTCTTTTTTGTTTGTTTGTTTGTTTTTTTTGTTTTTTTCAGCGGGCTTGGCGTTGCAGGTCGCGAGACTTCCTCGTCTCTCTCTGTCGGTATGTTGTACTTCTCTCGCCGGTTTATAGGAGGTTCTGTGAGTGAGGTGTTCGCGCTGAAATTGAGAGAGGTTTGGATGTAGGGGTGAGAGTATGAGGAGGGAGGGAGGGGGAGAGAGAGAGGTAAAGAATTTTCGAGAGCACGAGATTCGAGATGGTGAGTAAGGGTGGAGACCTGAGGGAGCGTAGAGCGTTTAAGAGTTGTGTTCGATGAAATGTCTAAGAAATTTTCTGTGTTTCATCGGAAGATATTTTTTATCTAGTCACTTGAGATCCCTTCATTTAATTCTTGCATGCTTTCCACCTGGTAAAACCGCCACTGATACTCCGCCGTCAAATTAATCTGTCCCATCAGTTTCGAAGATTTCAGTCTTCGCTGCTGCCTGCTTGTTTTCTGTTTTCGTCTCGTGTCGTCTCCAATTCGTTTCGAATTTCTGTTTTCTTTATTTTTTGAATTTAAAGAAAAAAGTTTTACCTGATTATATTTTTTCCTCCCTTAGCTTGCCCACAGTATCGCCAAGCGGCGCCGTAGCTTTGAATCTTGCCGTTGTTGTGATTATTTGGTCAAACTCAGTTGTACCGACAAAATGTGGTCTCATCAGGATATTAACGAGTGCGAAGGTTTTAGGAAGTTCTTGCAATACGCCCGATTGGAGTCAAACAGAAACCTAGAGCATTAGTAGATTCGAAGCTTTTGGCATTTTTTGCGTGATTGAATGGCGTAAACTTACTTGCGGGTCATAACATGGTTGAGAATGTTGTACCCACCGATAGTATAAAATTCTAGCCATCCAGCTAGCAGCCGATTCGTTCCTAGGAATCATAGCATGATCCTCTTTTGATTTTGTCGCATCATCTGAGGTAATTCAGGAAGAATTCTGCAGGTTGAGATTCGATGCGGATGCCACAAAACATCCTGGGGATTATATCCACTACCGGGACGCCTGCACTGAAATAAGTCTGTCAAGAATGAGAAGTATCTAATTGGTGTCAAATTGTGTGTAGGATGCGGCAGTGTATCGCTCATCCATTTCTGTCGGAGGAAGACACCAACGAGCTCGCCGCAAATTTTAAAGCTGCACGCAAAAGTCTCTTCGAACGAGAGATTTTCAAACAGAGCGCCAGGAGTTTTGAGCAGCTGCGCACACTTGCGATTGATTTTCCAGAAGCAATCGAGCTTGATATTGAAGTGCTGGAGCCTATCCTTCAAGAATATTCAAATCGCACAGAATTCGATTGCTTCCTGCAGCTTTCAAAGCCGACCGTACATCGCTACTCATAGGCGAAGTGTGACGAAGCATCTTGAGGACATCACACACAACATTGGCATCCACGTGAGGATTATCCTCCTGTCTGCGGTGCAGAAGGACTTCAAAGCATCAGCGGGCACAGTGCCCCAATCGATGCAGCAAGTGCGCCACGAGTTATACAGCTTGAATCTGCAGGTATGTCGCATATTAGAGGTTGACAACGCAGCTTTGAAGGACTCAAAACTGAAGCGAGATCGTCTGATAGGCATATGCACCGGCAGTTGGGGTGGAGGATTTAAATCGGGGCAGCTCGAAGTTGAAGAACGAGATGGATGCGATTAAACGTGACGTGCAGGAAACGAAGGAACCGCATGATCCACACATGATGGGCGTGGTTGAGAATAGTTCCAACAGCCTTGCGCAGCAGTCTAGCGATCAGGCCACCCCGTCTGAAGATCCCGATGGTATGTTGCATCACCGGGAGTATCGCCAGTTGGAGCCTCTCTACGAAGCATTCATATGTCCTCTCACGAGGAAGATCATGCGCGACCCTGTTTCTTTAGAAAATGGCGTAACATATGAAAAGTCTGCAATTGATCGATGGATGCAAGAATGTCGAAATTCAGGTAAGGAGCCAACGTGCTTCGTGACTGGAAACCTGATTACTGCTCCGCCGAAACCGAGCATCGCCCTTCGAAACACCATTGAGGAGTGGACTACTCGGAACGAACAGTCGCGCATTGGCATTGCAAAGAAACTCATTACTGTCGAGGCCTCGGAAAACGACGTACTCTGTGCTCTGACGGATCTGCAAGTGCTCTGCCGGAAGAAGGCGAACAGGTACCGGATACGCAAAGTTGAGCTCATTCCTCAAATTGTTGATCGCTTGAAAAACGGAGAAGTGGTCCGGATTCTAGCCCTTGCCATGCTTCGTATTCTCGCGGAAGATGACGAAGATGCCATAGTAGCCATAGGTCAAACGGACGCACTGCGACTGGCCGTGAAGTGTTTGGCTAGAGACGGCCCGGAGGAGCGAGAGGAATCTGTAAAGCTTCTTCACGAGCTATCAAAGTCTTATTTTATGTGTGAGAAGATCGGTGCAACCAATGGTGCCATACTCTTCCTCGTGGGAATGACCAGTGGCAGCCCTGAGAACATGGTGGCTGGCGACATAGCTGAGGAAGTCTTGTCCAACTTGTCAAAATGCGATAAAAACATCCTTCAGATGGCGGAGAATGGTCGTCTGCAACCACTTCTCGATCGCCTCACTCTGGGTTAGTACTACAAGCCCCTCGCTTTTCTTTGACGTAGATAATAGTAGGCTACTCAACTCCGCTAGCCTCCCTGCAAATTCCAAATAATATTAAAAACCTTTCATGGCATGTTTCTCAGGCGATGCGGAGGTTCGTGTGGAGATGGCCGAGGTCCTTTCCGACCTGACTCTAACCCCAGAAGGTAAGGCCCGCGCCGGTGAGCTCGTGTCGAGGACGTTAGTGGAGATGTTAAACAGCAGCTCCTCGTCTTCGGAGAAAGCGGCTGCTCTGAAAGCTCTCCGCAGCATTTCAACGCTCGAGACCAATGGCAGCAAGCTCCTGGAGGCGGGGGTGTTGATTCCTCTAATGCGCGATCTCTTTGTCGTCGGTCCCAATATGGTTCCCATGAAACTAAAGGAGGTAGCCGCTACGATTCTTGCTAATGTGGTGAACGCCAGCGGAATGTGGGAGAGCATGCCCGTCGACGATGGCGGAGACACGCTCACGTCCGAGGCCACAATTCACCGCTTCCTTCACTTGATTAGTAACACCGGGCCTAAAATTGAGGCCAAGCTCCTCCTGGTACCTGTTTTTGTCCAATCTCTCCTGCTTCCCCTACTTTCAATCTCAACACTCCCACGCTCCTCACAGGTGCCGCAATGCTGAAACGCTATTGAAATTTGCTGCAGGTTGTAGCAGGCCTAGCATCGAAACCGAGAGCCGTGAGTAGAGTTGTCTCCGCCATCAAAAGCTCGGGTGCCATAGTCGCCCTAATCCAGTTCTTGGAAGCCCCTCAACCCGACCTCCGTGTCGTCTCCATCAGACTCTTATACCTGCTGTCGTTTCACATGTCCCAAGAGCTCGCAGATGGATTGCGCGTCACCACACGCCAGCTGAGCACACTAGTGAAGCTGGTGGGTCAGTCAGGCGTAACAGAGGAGCAGTCTTTTGCCGCCGGGTTACTAGCCAACCTCACCTCACAAGACAAGCACCTTACGCGCGCATTGCTCGATGAGAATGCCCTGCCTACGATCGTCGAGCGCATCAACGAGGTCAGGAGGGGAGTGGTCAATATCGGAGGCGCCCGTCACATCGCTGCGTTCCAGAAAGGCTTAGTAGGAATCCTCCTCCAGTTCACATACGAATTGGACGACCCGGTGTTCGTCGACGCAGCGCAGGCGAATGATCTAACAAGCTTGTTTACGGCGCTCCTGCAAACCTCAACTCTAGACGAAGTGCAGCGCTCTTCAGCGCTAGCATTGGAGAATCTGTCCGTCAAGTCGCCGCAACTATCGATAGTGCCGGAGCCTCCCGCGCCAGTGCCGGTATGCCCTCTGTTTCCGTGCCTGTTTCAGAAAACGCCCCCACTCAGAGTTGCTTTGTGTGAGCTACACGGCGGGGTGTGTTCCATGAAGACCACGTTTTGTTTGCTGCAAGCGGAAGCTATTGGGCCCCTCCTTGCATGCCTTGACCACCGCAACACGAGCCTTGTGGAGGCTGCCATGGGAGCTCTGTCCACGGTGCTCATGGACACCGTCGATGTCGATAAAGGCGTCATGGTAAGCTCCATCTCGTATAGCAGCTCTGTATATGTGAAGTTATTCCTGTCGTGGTTGCGTCCCCTACATTCTCATGAGTGGCATTTCATGGCTTTTGAGAGTCTCCACAACCTGGCTCGAGTGCTCTAGTGTATTTCTCCACGAGTTTGTTCAGAACCCTGTATGGTTTGATATTTGGCGAGCATGTACAGGAGAAACTTTTCTGACGAGCCTTGTGTGTTGTAGGTATTATATCATGCGGATGCAATACACCTCATTTTGATGGTCATGCAGGAGCATCGCACCGAGGTGCTGCGTCAGCGGGCGGTGTGGATGGTGGAGCGGATCCTTCGCAACGTTGGCATGGCGCAAGCTGTGTCTATCGACTCTAACGTGCACACATCTCTTGTGGACGCATTCCGGCATGGCAATTCCCATGCCAGGCAATCCGCTGAGAACGCTCTGAAAACATTAAACAGAATCCCTCAAAACTCTGTGGCTAACGCTCCCATGATTAGGAGACGGTGAGCATCACGTTTGCCATTCTCTTTTTCTGTACCTGCTGTTTCATGGAGTCCGTCTCCAGCAGAATATTTCGCAGGTTTTTTTTAATGTCATGTAGAGTAGTTGAAAGTGGAGTTCACAAAACTTGAAAAAATGACCAGTTAAGCATTAGAAGTTATGGCGTCCCGAGTTCTTCTCTATCATACACGATCGAGGTGAAGGTGCGTCTCCGTTCTTGTGTGGCATGCACGCGTTCTTTTTAGGTGTAGGGTTTACAATGTGTACAAAAAGGTTCTTTTTCATCGTCGAGTATACATAGAAGTAGCTTATCCATTCTTTTGCCGCGTGGATTTCCTCAGTGATCGACTGTATTTATTCAAGGTGTATTAATGCTGTTTAAGCCGAAGGCTTGAAGCTATCGTGCAAGGTTCCTTGTATGTTTTGGAGCATATGTGATCTGATGTTTTTGGTCCCGATTAGACCGGTTCTATAATTAGAATGTTAAATTGTTGTCAAATAGGTTTGTGACCTCAATTACTGTTAGAGAAAGAAACATTGAGTTTGGCATTCAACATTGGGGTTGTTGTAATACTTTTTTGCTTTGAGGTGAGGGGCTTACATTATTGCCTGTGATGTGTAGAGGATATTCAAATATCCAAGAGTAGCTACAATCTCTACAAATCACAAGAGTAATAATCTTTGCTAAACAGCTGCTACAGCTTGAAGCAATTATGAGACTAGAATTGAAAGTGTTTTTACAAGAATACTATGGGTATCAAATGTTGAATTAAACGTTTTTGTTAAGATAAATTTGTTACCAATAAGAACACTTGTAGTTTTTCATGCAGAGAAGAAACGAAACCAATGCATCTCAACAGATGGATGAATTAGATTCTTTTCTTCTATTTTCAATAAGATATATCCTTTTTGTAAAATTTGAAATTAATAAAGGTCCATGGAACCTATCATGTGCGTCTTTACATATAAAGTTTGTTTTATTTTTATTTTCTTTGTATTTTTTATACTCAAAAATAGATTGTATCTAATGCATTCATAGAATAAAATATAGTACAAAAAAACTTCTTTATTCCTAACACCTATGAAAGTAGAGTTAAGAATACTATGTGAAGTAATTGCTATTAGTCACTTAACATTTTTACTTAAATATATTATCAAGCCATCTTATGGCACTCTAAAGTTTCACTCTGAAGTATAGAGATTCCTCTATACTTCTTTTTTCAAAGACATTTGTTTCTTAGAATCTAGATGGTCTACAAACAAAGTCCTTTTAGAAATGATTAGAACTTGCCAAGGCATCTAAACCAAATTGAAAAGGGAGTATATGTTTGTAATAATAGCTTGCTTTTGCAAGAAGACTTTCTACAACCGCTATTTCTAAGAATTACACATTATTTTATATAAAAGAGGTAGTCCAATTTCAAATTTTACTAACTTGATAATACTCCTAAAATTTGTGCAATATGGTTTTAAGCTTTTTGGAGAGAATATAAGGCACAATAAATATTAATATAAGAACTAACTTTTCCTCTCTATGTATTAATGGCCACACTTTTGAGCCATAGAAGCCAAATGAACATTGCTTTTTGGAATGAGATTTGAATCAAATGTCATTTTATTTAAATGAGAGGTCTTGTTTTAGTAGAAAATTCTAGTTGTTGGCTACTAAGTTGGTTGTAAGAGTGTTTCTTTGAAGTCACTTCTATCCAAGTTTAGCTAAGTATGCCATTAGTTTTGCTCTTGTTACCTAAAAATAAGAATTAAGATTAAAGGTTACTTCATTAACTTTATTATAGCAAAGTTTGTTTTTTTTGTTTTTTTGTTTTGTTTTTTTTAAAGTGGTCATAGAAGCTACTCTAATAATTTAAAAAAAACAAGCTATATGATTTATATTATTGCCAAGTTCTATATTTTCTTAATTTAACAAAAGATTTTTATTGTAGTATAGAATTCTTAATTGTATCTCAACATGTAAGATTTTAATTTTTGTAGATTATAGTAGAAGAAACCATTTGTCTTATTTAACTCTTTTGTATTGAATAGATAGGTAAAAGACTACTACTAGAAGTTGGTCCTCCTTTAAGGTATACAAGCTAATCTAATCTTAGAATTTTTATAGAATACTCCTATGTTAAAATATAGTATTCTATGTTTTGAGAAAATAGTAGTATAATTTATATATATATATATAATCAATACTTGTAGTGGATTGGTCTTTAGAAGAAACTTCTTTTATTATGAGCTATTATATTGGATCTTTAAAAAAAACTATTAGAGTATAAAGTTGTAACTTGATAAGAATTTAGGTAGAAGTTAATAAATGAGAATTTGGAATTCCACTAAAAAAATCTATTTTGGACTTTGTAGAATGAGGTTGGAAGATTAAGCCAAAGATAAAGATATATTTGTATCTAAACTTTTTTAATATTATTCTATATCTATAAGTTAGGCTTCTACTTGTGTTTTGACATTAGTATCCAAGTATTATTTGGAAGTCATTATCTTTTAGCTATTAGTTTGGCATTTAACATTCTATATTTAAGAAAATTTTAAAATTTGGCATGTTTTGGATATAGGGTCCCTAAAACCATTTAATTGAGAGTCTATTGGTGGCTTCTTTTAGATTAATTATACCAAATCCACTTCTAATTTAAGCCTTTATATAATTACTATATATATATATATATATATATATATTTCTTAAATTAATTTTTTTAAAGATATAAAAGAAATGAATATATATATATATATATATATATATATATATATATATATATATATTTATATTAACTTGATGTAAAATTAATCTTGGTTATATGTACAAAATAGCTAATTTAAACTTTTCTATTAGAATCTTATATGTTCTTAGATTATTTTTAAGAGACATCTTTTATGTTGCACTTATAATAAATTAAATAAGCTAATTTGGATAATATTAAGGAATAATTATTTTTTATAAGATATTTTTAGTCATAAATTTTATTTTAAAAATTGAATTTATAGAGTTTGTTCAAATTGAAAGAAATAAATATAATAATGATAGTAAAATGCTATTTATTCTAATAACAGTGCAAGCGACATTGATTGTAATTAAAACACAAATATTTAAGCATAAGTATAATTCTATCAATCAATGTCATATTTAAGGCTACGCCAAAAGAAGTGTCTAATAATGTACTAATAATATTAGAAAAAGTCCACACCCATCCAAAATTATTGTTCAAGTTGGGTCTAACAGTTTTGTAAAATTATTAATATACGATAGATTTGCATAATTTAATTTCTAAATCAATGGTCAAACTAAATTTTTTCATGAATTTTATTAAAATTTTTAAGTTTTTTTCTTTTTCTTTGATGGTAATAGTAGAGTCATTTGCATATTGACATTTGACTTCTTAGTCATATCTCCACATAATATTAATGCCATAAAGTTTTTATTCTTTGATTACATTTGAAATAGCTATATTGAAAATTTTACAAACGAGAATAAAGATGTATGGAGCCAACAACTTTCCAGCA